CATCAAACCTTAAAAAAAACAAACACACCTTTTAAGATATTTTAAGAACCGATATTCCGATTTGAATGAGATTTGGGGTGCCTATGTTTTTCTAAGCGCATTAACATTTGACTGTCACAACAATCAAGAAAAAGTACGGGAAGGGTGAAAACTACCCCCACCTCTACATAAATTTTAGCAGAACCCGATTTTTTTTCTTAAAATGGTCCTTCTAGTATTTTCTACATTTTTTGTCTCTTGTAAAAAATCGCCATCGCGCATACTTTTTGAGGAAAAAAAAATTCCATGCCAAAGTTTATGGCCCGAACGATTGTCTTGGCGCACTCAGTGATGGTGTCCTGGTGTTTATCCATTTTCCTTACAGAATCTGCATTCGCCGTTGTTTCTTAGCTTCAGTCTACTAAGGTGTTCGTTGAGGAGACAGTGTCCTGTTAAAAACCCCGTGAAAATCCGAAGATTGTTCTTACTTAAATCAAGGAAAATCTTTGATTTTTCTCGGTCGTAAATTCTGAGAAACTTTTTCGAATGTCTCAGACCGTTGTTGGATTCCCATTCCAGGTTACGGATCGAATCTTTCAGATTCTTGAGTTCCGCTTTAAATTGGTTTCCACTTGGAAAGCAGAACGGTTCTGATCCAGTTAGCGGAGAGATAAAGGCCTTGCTGTGCCTGTATCCCTGTCTTTTTTATTTTCCTTGATCCAAAGTTTTACTGCACTACCCCCCTTTTTTTCTCGTTGTTCAGACTTTATTTTCTATGTTCTCGTTTGTAACACTCATTAACTTTTTAGACACTTTGTATATTTTGATGTCTCGGGCTGAATTGGCCAGTGGTCGGCGCCTATGGTCGGTCAATGTCAAGTTAGTAACTAATTAGAGATAAAGTGTGAGATATTAAATCAGTAATAATTAAAAATATTTCTGCTTGAACATCTATAAATAGCAGAACAAGAGATTAGAGGCCAGTAAACATTTGAAAAGTGTTAATTGCGTCAGTTACTGGTATATATAAATATATTTTTTACGAATTCTAAAAAAGACTAAAAGAAAAATGCTTTGCAAACACTTTAAATACGTTTTAAAATATATATGTTGTTTTTGTTTAACCTTGACTGATATAAGCTGTCATTAGGTAAACTTCCTTTTTGAATTAATAACAGTAACTACAAGGGTGATTATTTGGTATCGGTTTAAAATGTTGATATACAGCGTGTCCCACAATTAGTGAGACAAACTGAAAGGGGTTGTAGAGGACATCAAAACAAGTCATTTGAGTATAGGAACCCATGTCCGGAAATGTGCCGTTTTGGCAGGAGGTGGAGTGATATGTAAATTTCAAATTGCATTATTTATTCAAAACATTTACAAAAACTACTCAAAGTGCGTCCGTTCTGTTGAAGACACAAATGCACACGCCTGGACGGCACTTGAACAATTTTTGTTAACGTTTTGAATAAATAATGCAACTTGAATTTTACGTTTCACTCCTTCTTCTTACAGTGCCATACTCTCAGTGCTCATATAGAGCGTCGGCTACCTCTCGCATGTACTTGTGATGTATGTCATCAGTGTTTCACAAGTACATGGGACCTACAGTTTATCACCGAATCCGAACGGCACTATTTGAGAGGCTGTATAAGGCAAATATACTCAAGGTGGTTTGCCATTGCCTTCCTTGAGATGGCGGCTCGTTGGTCGCTCTATTTAGATAAATAAATATTTTTATTTAAATAAATAAAGCGACCGTACTGGCTGGGGATCGAACCCAGTACCTTCCGCTCCGCAGATCGACACACTACCGCTGGAGCTACGGCCGCCGCGCCGGCAACCCCACGTTTCACTCCACCTGCTGCCAAAACGGCACATTTTCGGACGTGGGTTCCTATGCTCAAATGACTTGTTTTGATGCCTTCTACAACCCCTTTCAATTTGTCGCACTAATTGTGGGACACCCTGTATTTTTATTATCAATTAAATGATTTTATAATTAAGTCATTTTTTTAAGTATATTTTAAGGTATATCCCTTAACGGGGGCGTAAAATTTTTTATTGGTTGGAGATCTTTATGCTTATATAAAGAGCTATATCGGCGGATTGGTTGGTGGAAACGGCACCTAAGCTTAAGAATTGGCAAGGGTCGGGGCTGGATGCAGTGAAGGGAGAAAACATCTCAAAAGGGGCGACCATCACGGTCTTTCTGCCGAGGAGCAAGGAGAAAGATAACATCTGCCTATTAAGCCTTATCCAGGTTCAGAACTCCAATGTAAGGACATCAAGTTGGCGAGTCATCAACTCGAGGGAGGATAGTCATGGTCAGATCCTCACTCTAAGAATTGACATCAACTCCAAGGAGGCAATAGAGAAAGAGGGATATATCCTCTATTATAGCTTCGGGACAACACCGGTATCAGGTCTAAGGAAAGGCCAAGTTAAAGAGGTGGAGAAAATGGAGACAGATCCTCCATCTTCCACCTCACGGGTACATCGGCCGGAGACATGCTCCTCGACTGTGAAAGGCACGGAGGGCCAAACCCCAACCGTGGGAGGGGGAATACCTTCGGAGAAAGAACATCTGTTGTCTGAGGAGGATGGGAAATACCCTGTTCCCCCTACAACAGGAAAATCCTCAAGTATGATGGATTATAGACTGTATGATGAGTTAACTCCAGGACACAATAGATTTTTAAGGTCGCAGTGATTAACCCCCATCCCACTCATTCTACATTCTACAAGTAAAGAGCTACTGAGACATTTCACATCCGTGAACTCCAATCCAATGGTCTTTTCAGAAAAAAAATGTTATTTCAATTTTAGTTCAGTAATATTATGGCTCAAATTGCGATATATCCGACAAAATTCATAAAGTTTTCAAAATTAGTGGAAATAATCAGGACATCATATATATTAATAAACTGAAAAGTTCCCACCCCTAAATAGTGTGCGTCATCCCCCAGGACATCGTTTCTACCCCCATTTTGGGTTTTTTTAAATAATCTCGGCAACAGTGCAATTCTCGACAAAAATACCTACATAGAAAATTGTTCTTCATAAAATTCTCTATCAAAAAGATATATACACTTTTTTCTAAAGTTAATAATAAAGTGGCAAATAGGGCGCAAATATAAGGGTTGGTTATGACTAGCACTATCTGCAGTTCAATCTAATTTAAAGTTTAATGTTTAACGCTAACAAAAAGCAGTAACCACTAAATTATACTTAGAATTTTAATATACGTTTTTCTCTCACTCTCTCGCACTCTCACACCCCTATAAAATGGGTGATTTGTACTTATTTCCACATCACCCTAGAGGTAAAGTATTTGATGCGTTTTTTTTAAAGTGCTATCCCCTGTAGCCTAATCCACTAATTATCAAATGTTAAAGATGGGATTTTATTTAAAAGTTTAAAAGTGCGTCGTGCAAATCGTGAAAAGCCGATATCTAGTTTGAGCAATACAATGAAAATTAATGGCAATGATGTCTAGCCTGGAGTTAAAAAAAGTACTTTAGTTTCGAATTAGCTTCAGTACCTCTTTCTCTTTTCGATGCGAAAGGCCTAATGAGAAAACTAATAAAGCAGCTTTATACCAGATTGTCAATAAAGTTCCAGAACGAGACCATATTTTTGAAAACATCGAGTATGTCATTAATGGAGGATATTTGCTTCGCCGCGTAATATGGCCAAAAAAAGGGACATTTAACATTGTATACAACGCTTACGTTAGTTACATTAAAAACATTATGGGAATAGAGTAACTGTCGTGTTCGATGGTTATATGGAAAATGCAAACAGCATGAAGAGCCTAGAACGACATAGGCGGCTACTTCAAAGAAGCTGTCCTCAAATTATGTTTGACGAGAATACTGTTGTCTCTGAAACTCAGCAGAACTTCCTAATTAATTTGTTTAATTAAGAACGTTTAATCACAGAACTAGTAAACAAATTTAGGAAAGAAGGTATAGAAGTATTTGTTGCTGCGGATGACGCCGATTTATTAATAATTCAAACTGTTATAGAAAAATATAATAATTGCGATACAACTGTTATAGTGGGGCAAGATATTGATCTGCTAGTTCTTCTTATTGCACTTTCTCCCTCTCACAAAGATATCAAATTTTTAAACAGGGAACGCTTGAGAAAAACAGGGTAATACTTGCAAAAGGATTTACAGTTCTCAAGATTTACAATCCGCAACTTTATTATATATACACCTTTATACTTTACCTCTAGGATGATGTGGAAATAAGTACTTTTTATAAGGGTAGAAGAACGTATATTAAGATTCTAAGTATAATTTAGTGGTTACTGGTTTTTGTACCAGTAAACCAAGTACCAGTAACCAACCCTTATATTTGCACCCTATTTGCCACTTTATTATTAACTTTAGAAAAAAAGTGTAATTATCTTTTTGATAGAGAATTTTATGAAGAACAATTTCCTATATAGGTATTTTTGTCAAGAATTGCACCGTTGCCGAGATTATCTAAAAAAAATTCAAAATGGGGGTAGAAACGATGTCCTGGGGGATGACGCACACTATTTAGGGGTGGGAACTTTTCGGTTTAGTAATCCTCATGCTATCCCCAACATACCTACCAATTTTCAAAACTTTCTGAATTTTGTCGGGTTTAAATCGTAATATTACTGGATTATTTTTTATTTTTGTTTCTGTGACGATATTTCCAAATGAAAGTTAAATTATAAAATGCTAAAATTTTAGGAATAAAACTCGTTTATATAAATATTTTTTAATTAAAAATTTAAAACTCTTTAGACAGCTAAAATTAGATTATGAAGTGATCTTTCAGTATATCGCTTTGAAACTATAAACAAAATACTTGGAATGGATTTTTTCCATAAAATTGCGTTTTATTTGATTATGTTATACCACGTTATTAGTTTTAATACTAACACATAAATATTATCTAATATTTTGTAAAGTAATATTATTGAAAGTAATAATTTTAATAATATTGAAAGTAATAATCATGGAAATATTTTAGGTCTATGGAACTACGTATTTTTGTTTTCAAACTTATCCATGTTTGTACTGCTACCGTTCGCTTATCTCTTCACCGAATCTGAGGGATTTTTTGGCCAAAGAAAAAGACTTTGGGCGAGAGTGTACGAAACGTTCGTCGTTTTAACTCTTTTAACTGTTGTTGTACTGGGCATGACGTATGTCCTTTCAGCTTTGTTTAACGAAGAAGAAGCCAGCTTAATACCCATATTCAGTAAGTTTAATTTTTGTTTGCATTCGGGTATTTACGGATTTTGTTAATTTAATGGTGGGTACAAGTAGGGATGGGATTATTTTATCGATAATTATCTAAAATTTCTGATTTAGAGCTCAAACGCGCTGCGACCTGGTCGTCAGTGCGTATGGTCGCCAGACCAGTATTTGATTTAATGGTATTACTGGTCACAGCAATCAAGCTGAGACCGCTTGATTTATTTTTTTCATCATTTGATTTAATGGCCTGGCCATTGGCTGGTCGCTGCGACCTGGTCGTCAGTGCGTTTGAGCTCTTATGAATTGTTTTTCATAGATTTTTTATTTTAATGCTAGTACATTTTCTAATGTACATGTGTTTTTTAGATTTATGGACCTACCTCCCTTTTTTATACTCCTGCATATCGTTTCTAGGAGTTCTTATTTTATTAGGTAAGTTTAATTTATTTTACACATATGCCTCGATTTTTCTGAATTTACTATACAATTAGTTAAAAACATTGGAATGTGCATAAAATCTTTAAGTAGTAAGTTAACGACATCCAAAATATGACAGAAAATGCAATTTACCTGTGAATTAAAATGACAGACAATTGTGACTGTCATGTATCATCTCATTGAACAGATTGCAGTTTCTGACGTGTTATTTAAATTTGAAAAAAAAATGACTCTATAGTGATTTTTTTTCACTGTTTTTGTTCATTTTTTACAAACTGTTTAACAGTTAAACATGTCTTGTCCATTTTTGGTAATTTTGATATGACAACCCAAGTAACATTTTTAGACACAAAATCGAAGCAAAATCTCTGCTGAGAAACATTGCGAAACAGTATCGAAACTATGATGGTGTTTGTGTCAAAACACAAGAGTTCTGAAATTACTTCAACACATTTTTGATACATATGTTTTGTAACACAAATCGCTTTTTATTTCGAAACATTGCATAAAATGTGTTCAAAAATGCTACTTGGGAAGTTTTGCTGACAATATATGCATGGATAAGATTAGTTTTAGAACATGTATGTAATATAGGCCTTCTTGTGAATTATACAGGATAGAATGACTTATGCCACAAAAAGTATACTGAATATTGTGCAAGGCGGCCAATATTAGAGTATAAATATTTTAACTCAAAATTACCAAAAATGGATAAGAAGATTTTTGATACTCAACTCTTCATTTGTTACAGTTCATACAGTTCCTTTAAAATTAAAAGATTGAATTAAGATAGAACATTTGCCAAACTTAAATACAGCCTGGCAATATACTGGCCACACCTGTCGTCGTTATAGTTCTCATATAATGTTTCCCACTAATACATCTCGAAAACGAGTTTTAACACTTAATTACAAAGTATAATGAAGCTAAATTACATTATTTTGGCACCAACGCTAAACTAATTAATCATGTAAATGAATAAAACGAATCATATAAATGGAATTCAGAAGCATGGCTAATTAAAACTCTGTACAACCATCGTTCAGTGTTACGCCATCTATTATCGTACATTTCCTTTACACATAGATTGTAGACGTTCATTGCGGCATCTGTTGAGTGTAAAGCACTGCTCATTGCTTCTAGTATCAGTGTCAAAATTAAAATTTGATTGTGCTGTCAAACAAAATTCTAAAGTAAAAATAGAAACACAATCAAAATGAATACGCCAAACATACCTACTTAAAAACAGTAACTTCGGAACGCACCCTCATTTACTAAATTCTGAATGTACTGGAAATCTCAGACTCACCATAAAACAGGTATTAGATAAATAATAATGACGTAACGTTGAACGATCGTTAAACTAATTATCGCATCTGTAGTTCATTTTCTGGTTTTGACTTCAAATTTATTTTTGCTGTTTTTTTATTTTTTCAGTATGCACCCCCTTAGGTTTTGTACGTCTATTCGACGTAGTCGGAATTTTTTTAATAAAGCCTCAATTTTTACACGATATAAATGAAGATTATTTCGCTTATGCTATAGAAGAAGAATGCTTAAACAGAAGACTGAAACAAGTCCAATCCACAGGTGTGTTAAATTATTTTTGTGATTTTTTTTTCAAACAAGTGCCTATTTCAGGGCATTTCTTTCTGAGTCCAGAGCCAATGGCTGTTGATGACAGTCCTATTTATAATGACGAATATAAGTTAGATGACTGTTTCTTGCGTTTGAGAAATGGGGAGTTACAGAACGGTTTAAGTGTGAAGTTAAAAGAGATTGCCCAGAAACGATTTCTTCTTGGTAATGTTCAATAGACTGTTTAAATTAATTCTTATTTATTATTAATATATTGTAGATAAGCAAAGAAAGACCTCATCGCTCAGAAGAAATGTTGTATATCCCATAGCCATGTTACTTTTAATAGGTTTAACAATAATTGCTGTTTTGTTAGTTGTGCAAAACACTCTGTCATTGTTAATAGGAATCAAGGCTTTGCCAAGTAGTTCAAAGGTATGTACAAGAAAATTTAATAAATTTTTGGAAATAGTTAGCCACTATTATATACAGTAGTTACAGAAAGTTTAAAAAATTTATTTTTTTGTGAATTATTATAAACAACTTTATGCAGAATCAATTAGCGTGCCAAATAACTAACTTTGTCCACGACCACTTAATAATAAATCAATATTCTACTTTCTAGCTGAAGGAATATGGTATCCATATTTGTAATAGATATATCAAACAGCTGATAACAGTGAATTATGATAAATCACACTTTGCATTTACTTTACATTTGTTGCTATGCCAACGTGACACTCACAACATCCCGATGCGCGGCGTGGATGATTTGACGTTTTTCTTATCTTTTCATTTTATTAATTTTGACGTTTAAAATTGTCAAATGTTAACTAGGTAGTGATTATTAAGTGGCATATCAAGAACGCGTTTAAAATCAAAAAATGAATTATGAGAGTGCATAATGAGCCCTGTACCCAGACAAACAAATAAAAAGAGACTGACAAATCTCATGGTAAAGAGTGGGACCGCGTTCCCGTAGCGCAACTCAGAATAACAATTTTGAAACCAATTAGCAGGACCATAGCGGACGTACGTCTTTATTGCTATCTTTCTTTATTATGTGTGCTTTATATGAAAAAGAAAGAGATAGGTATAAAACGTATCGTAAGACATTATCGCACATTCTGGCTGGCGGAAAATTTAAATTAGCCATTATTAGTAGTATTCTTTCATTCTGAAACTGAAAATTTTCACTTAGACTGATTTATTCCCTATACCACGTAAAGGGAACGTGGTGTAGGGAATAAATCAAAGTGAAAATTTGCAGTTTCTTTCAGAACGAAAGAATACTACTATTATAAGGGAAATTATAAAAAAAAGCAAAAATTGTACTGTTTTATTAACATATTTATTTATACATAAAAATAAATAAACTTTTTATAATATAATAACAAAAAATAACAGTGTTTATTCCACCCACCTACCAATTTTAAATCCAGAAGAACTGACTGAAACGATCGGCCAATTTTTTTTAAGGGCATTAAAAATCTAATTTTCGAAAAAACTGCCTAATTGCAATAACCAAGTGAATATCCAAGAAGACTTTATAGTACGAGAGCTAGCAACGTCGGAAAAACAAGTATTTTAAGACATCTGGCTCCTTGATACATCTTTTACTATGCTCTCTAGAACAGCATGCGGCCCGTCTGGCTGCCGGTAAATGTTGCGTTCCCTACTGCGCATTGAAAGAAGATCCTATATTTTTATTAGTCCTTTAAATTCTAGTATATAATATAAATCGAACATGTCTCCATAGCGCAGTGCGTAGAGTTTCCGACCACGAACCGAAGATTCATAGTTCAAATCCGGGTGGAGAGTGCGCTATGGAGACATGTTCGATTTATATTCAATAGCAGAATTTATAGGACTAAAATTAATAAAAAATATATGATATTCTTCCGATGCGCAGTAGGAAACGCAACGGGTATGGGCAGCCAGACGGGCCGTATGCTGTTCCAGGGAGCATAGTAAAAGATATATCAAAAAGCCAGATATCTTAAAATACTTTCTCGAAAACGTTGCTAGCTCTTAGACTATACGAGAATCATGAACCATTTTCAAGTTCAGTTTTAATCCTAAAACAAAAGTTAAATAGGTATATTAATAAAGTTTCCAGCTAACAACAAACCAGCTATAAACTACCTACCCAAAAAATGAAAAAAATTAATTGTATTAATTTGTTATGTTAAGAGAGGTTCGAAATATTTTTGACACTACTACTTCTACTTTTTTCTTAATAAGATGATAAATATAACTACTTACTTTTATTTTACCGGGTGTCTTTAACATATCTATCAGAGAAAGGGGGCACCAATACATATAAAAAATAGATGATACCTACTGGTTCCTGCAGCAAATAAAATAACAAATAGTATAACCTAAAATTATAAGTTACAAAATATAAATACCTATATGGAACAAAGGAATTTGTTCCCTATCCATATAAGTCAATAAAATGGAGAGTTTAGAAAAAAAGGTAAATCACCAAAAGAAATTACGTTTTATATGGCTGCTTCTTTCTCTCTTGTCATATTAGAATCAGATAGTGGGCCCAATAGACGCAATGCGCAGATCAACATAAATAGAACGACATTTTGCGTTCTGAGTTGCGCTACGGGAACGTTGTCCCTCTCTTTGCCATTTAATTTGCCAGTCTCTTTTTATTTGTTTGTCTATGCCTGTACCCCACCAGAGACAGCAGAGGCGGCCAAATGAGCAAGTCTTGGATTGCTTACCAAACCACAAAAGTCTAAGGCTCATTACATGTCTGCCTATAAAAACTTTCTAGACTGGAGGATTGCTAAAGGCATAAATTCGTTTTCCGAATCCGTGTTATTAGTATATTTAGTTGCCACTGTAACAGAACAAAAATCAATCTCCTGATTGACTAAAGAACGTTGGTACGATATTTTCATGCAAAGAACTTGAAATAATATCAATGAAAGTCAAATACATGTATAACTTTAAATAAAACACAAATTACCAACTTAGTTACACAAAACAACAAAAAGTCAGATGCTGGTACTCCAATTTATCGTTCTCCAACAACTGTACTCCACTAAAGTTGGTAGAAGTATGTTTTATATGCAAAAAACTTGAAGCAGCATCAATAAAATTCAAATACATATATAACGATAAATAAAACACAAATTGCCAACTTTAGTTACACAAAACAACAAAACGTCAGCTGCTGGTGGTACGATCTATCATTTTTCAACAAATTTATTTTACTAAAGGTGGTAGAAAAAAGTACTAATATACAGGTATGTCGTAAAACACATCTAATAATAAACTTCCCATATATTTGAAAATTGAATAGTTCGAGATGACTGTGACTCTCGATGCATAGCAGCTTATGATATTGACGTTTTTATTATCTTTTAGTTAATTTTGACGTTTGAAATTGCCAAATTTTAAGTAGGTAGTGACATTTTCCCCTAAAACATGAATACAATAATTAATAGTAAGATTAACATTAAAAATACAAATTCAAACACTCCTCATAATTATTATAATGGCCGTGGACAAAGTATAGAATTCAACTCGCAATTTATAGCCATTATTGCCCGAATAATGGCTAGCATAAATTGCTCGATCAATAATATAGTATTATTAATTTTTCATATATGTCAAGTGAGAACTGTCATTGCACCAATTTACAGCAAAAATGTTAAAAGGGAAGTTATGTAGAATTTGAGTGCCAATGTTTAATTATTATGATAAATTTCTATGGAGTTGAATTAATTTGAGATTATTATTTTTAGCAATTCACGTTAGGAGTAAGTTCATTATCTAAATTAGGACCGTTTGGTGCCGCTTTAGAAATCACCATGATCGTCTATTTCATCGCCACATCATCGATAGGTTTCTACACCGCACCGTGGGTGAAGAAAATGAGACCCACCGTTAAAAGCACTTCATTTACTTTAGTGATAGCCAACTGTGCTTTGGTTTTGATCATTAGTTCAGCGTTGCCACTGTTGTCAAAAATTCTAGGTAAGTAGTTTAAATCATACTTATTTTGTAACAGTTGATTGGTTGATTGTCATGAACAGATTACAGTTTTTATTATAATTTTACAATTATTCTGTTCTCTTCACGCCGCCGGTAGTCCTATGAAAATTTCCGATCTCACCATGATGGTCACCTTAGATGTAGATGTAGATTGTATGGTATTGGGGAAGTTAATCACCGCGATCTTATAAATCTATTGTGTCCCCCTTTCTTAAGCTATAACTCTTCATACAGTCTTAGGGCTTTGACAAAAGCCACTATATGAGACGATTTTACAGAGGTTAGTTCTCCATCTCCAGTATCGGTCATACCTTTAGGTTTATGGTACGGATGATTGTAGTCTCGGAGCACTCAGTGATGAGTTGTTCTGATGTTTTCCCGTTTCCCCACAGAATCTGCCTTCGCCGTTGTTTCTTAGCTTCAATCTACTGAGGTACTACTGTATCCAGAGATGTCTTTACTAATCTTGCTTACTTAAGTCTTGAGAAATTTCTTCTAGTATCTTAAACCTTTGGAGGATTCCCGTTCCAGGTTACAGATGGAGTCTGTAAGGTTCTTGACCTCTGATTTAAGTTGGTTTCGACTTGGGCAGCAGAAAGGTGCTGGCGTGTCATTTTCAGCAACATAATTGTGAACGAATATGATAACCTCCTCAGTTGACGAAAATCTTTATTCTCTGAGAGTATCTTCAGAGAATAAAGATTTCAGAGAATCGATGGAAGCGAAATCTAGCGAATATGAAGGGTGGTCTAGCAGTTTAAAAAAGTTATGATGCCTAGTATTCTCCTGTAATGGTTTTCCCTTTCTGACATCTTTTCCCAAAAATAGTCAGCATTATTTTTTCAAGCGTAACAACAGTTTCCTGTTTATTAGAACCAATTTTTCCTTCAGAAATGCACCATTTTGATGACATTTTGGTTAAAACTGTTAACAGTCATACGCGGACAGCTTCCTCATGTCCAAATCTTGATTAGATGCGTGACAAAAACATTTTTTGGACATACTCATAACTCATAACCTTTATAATCTGTCTTACTTTAATTCAACGGTTGTTTCAAAAAGAAAATTGCTCAGATTTTGTTGCCTGAATATTGTAGTATACATGGTAAGGTCGGAAACCTAAATATAATTTATGGAATATATTTTAATATGAAATATATTACTACTCACTTTAGCAATATCCCCTCAAAAAAATATAAATTAATAATATCTTTTATATGAATAAGAAAGTCTTTGAAACAATTAGTGATTTCTGTTGGCTAGATAAACAGCCACTAAAGCTAGATGCACTCAGAAAAAGTAAAACTGTTTTAGTCAAAAACGTTTTTTTTTATCTTTTATAAAAAATTGTTTCGAAGAAAAGCAAAATGTTTTATTTACAATTGAATGTGCACAGCAGCAGATACAGAAGAGTCGCGCGTCGTGGCTAAAAATGTTTTATCATAAAACAACGATCCAGCGCTCAACGTCGATCAGCCTGAAACTAAACTAACCTGTCTTAAAGCTCGCGACTGATCAGTATGCGTTAACCCATTTGCATTGACGTATCACATGAAACCACATTTAATTAAAAACGTTTTTGACTAAAACTGTTTTACTCTTTCCAGACTAAAGCTTGATTTTCATGCGTCCGTTTCCCTTGATACGATGGTTCGACGGCGCTCTGATTGGTTTGGTTTTGTTTTCGTGCCCTTTTTCATCCGTAATTGTTTTACTCCAAGCCCGTCAACGGAGAAAGATCGTACGATAACGGACGTTTTGACAAGTTTAATCTAACCTTAATAAAAATATAATAGTACTAGAACTAGCAAAGTCGGGAAAACGAGAATTTTAAGAAAGCTGATTCTTTAATATATCTTTTGCTATGCTCTCCTGTGTTTGCGCTCCTGACCAAAGTGCGGGCCGTCTGGCTGCCGGTAGACTACTTCGGTTTACTACTGCGCATCACATATGTGCAGGGATTCCATTTTCGTGTGGTTTATGGGATTTCTTGTTTATGAATAAAGATACAATGATGCAATTTTCACATTAATTTGGTACTTTTTTATGAAACTAAATATGCTAGACATATATTTATCCTAGCCTCCTTAGTTCCTGAAATACAGAGCGAAGTTGGGATGCGCAGTAGTGACAAGATGTTGAATAGATATGATGCGCAGTAGAGTTGAGCTTAACAGCGACTTTTAAGTCACCGGTATACCGGTGAAAGCGACCAGACGATCACTGGTTACTCTTAACAGCGACTTCAGTCACCGGGACCGTCGGCGTCGTCAGGACTCACCGATACAAAATACCGCTTATCTTCATCCGATTCCGTTTGCAGCTTGCGCTAGAAGCCGAGACGGTGACCGGGCGTATCGTATGTGTGGCGGCGACCAGCGATCACTGGATAATTCTTACTTCTCTCAGCGACCAGTGACTCACGCCGAAGGCACTGTTTCAGTCGCTGGTTAAATTAACTCGATCGATACGCCGCTGTACGTCTATTAAATAGTTGCGATGTTTATTATTGTGAAAAAGAAAAAAAAGGAAACAAATGGAAGTAATTGTCATAAAAGTGCGACAGAAAAAAATGTGAACGAATTCGACCTTTTATCAATTATAATTATTTAAATATATAAATTACGAAATATCATGTCTAAAAATAATATTTAAATTATATTCACCAAAAAAACAAAGATATAACGTTTTAGATACCATTTCTTTTTGTCTAGTAAAAAAAATATACTATGTTTCTTTGGGAATTTTATTTAATATTTAATATGACTATTTATGTATTAGATTAATTTTAAATTTATATTCCGTTACGAGAGCCGCTCAAATATTCTTGTTTCTCGCACAATAGGCACTGTCAATTAATTAGGGAAAGATACATACATTCTATTAAATGCCAGGTATAAACAGAGAATGTTTTTTTATTCAGCGTCAATATCTGAACGAGTTCCGTATACAATAATAATAATCTTTATTCATTTACAATCACAAATATACAAAATTTTACGCAAAAAATATGTTGTCTGACTACTACATAGTTATACAATTAAATTTGTTAGTTAAACAATTTTGCAATTGATAATTAAATTTATACTAATATATTACATTTTATATGATTCCAATAGTAGGTTGTGATAATAGATCCAAGAATTAGAGAGTTATAAAAAATAAATCAATAATAAATAAATAAATCATATAATAGGCTCGTCTGCATTTTGCAATATATCGCCTGTCGCACATTTCACCGTTGGGCTCCGTTTGCGCCAAGATTCGATGCAGCGACCAGGGACCGGCGACCATATCATAGTCACCGTCGATAGTTTTCTGTTCACCGAAGCGAGTTTTTCAACAGCGACCGAGGTCGCTGGTCGCTGCTCACCAGAGAAGTAGGTCCCTGGTATTACCAGTGACCATATAAGTCACCGGTAAAAGTCGCCGGTACAAAAATATCGCTCATCTCTAATGCGCAGTAGTGAACGCAACGTCTACCGGTAGCCGGACGGTCCGCAATCTGTTCAGGAGAGCATAGCAAAAGATATATTAAACAACAAGCTTTCTCAAAATTCTCTCTCGAAAACGTAAGTAAAACAGCGAAATCGTTATGGAAATGAACATATAAAATGACACCAATCACCAGCAAATCGTATATCCGATGAACGGAGGCATGAAAATGCAATAGATTTAAAAACTGCGTAATTTTCTAACCAATCCATGTCTTTAAATTCCACCAATAAAGTTAATATCGTATCGTCGGATAACAGATGCATGAAAATCAAGCTTTAGACCTAACTTTAAAGAACAGAGTCCAGACTAAGAAAATCGTTTCCGTTGATTCTGGAAAGAGTATCTTTTAGCATAAAATAGAAGTTTTACTTTATAACTGTTTTCTTTAAATGGCAAAAAGTTTTACTAGAGACATTTATTTTTCAGGTATAACAAATTTCGATCTTTTGGGAGACTTCGGCAGTATAGAGTGGCTGGGAAATTTTAAACTAATTCTTCTCTACAACATACTATTCGCCACCGTCTCGTCCCTGTGCATAGTTAATAAGTTCACAGCCAAAGTGAGAAGGGAATTGTACGCCCGGTTAGTTGAGAATTATATGTTTTTAACTAACTGTGTATCGTTTCTTAACTAATATATTTCGCCACGCAGCTACTCGTATAGTCTGGACAACGATCGTTCAACGTTACGTCATCATTATTTTTTTATTATCCGTTTTAGGGTGTGTCCAAGATCAGTTCATATTGTTTAGGAAATTTCAGGGGCGTTCCGAAAAATTATGAATATACAGAGTGAGTCTTAAATAAGTGCAAATATTTTCAGGGGTGGTATATTTCGACCCCAGGAACACATCTATGAGGTTTTTTTTCGCAAAAAAAAGATATTGAAAATCGAGCCTTTTCTTTTAAATTTCCCTGTATATTTTTCAAAACTTTAGAACTGCCTGTTCACCGCAAATTTTCCCACGGTATAATCTCTTAATCTCTGATACCTATTACCATAGTTACAGATTTACTCTATGGTTACAGCACTAAAAGGGATGCAAATACAGAAAAAATCCGGTGGCTCTCAAAATTTTTCCAAAAAAAAACATTTTTTTTTTAATTTTCAAACTTAAATAACTCGAGTTATTTTCGACCTATTTGAAAAATGGCAAAGAGAAAATATGTTTCTTTTATCGAGATCTACCAGCTCTGAAAATATTTGCACTTATTTAAGACTCATCCTGTATATTTTATTAATTTAAGTAGGTATGTTTGGGTTTTATTCAGTTTAGTTATGTTTCAATTTATAATTTTAGGCCTACATGCCAGTTTTAAGCGGGTAACATTTGAGTAACAAACCGATTTGAATTTTGTGTGATACTGATCGGTATCACCGTCAACCATTGAGGAATAAGAGATAGGAGGCGCTACAATACCTATTTCTATGAATTAAAAACGGGACCAGGGGGCGGGGTAAACTGTAACGATTTGTCAGGACTGGGCTAAGTAAAATTCAAATAATAAAAGTAAACATAAGAATTAAATTTTACCTTGAGCTAATCTAATCTAACGTTAATCCATTAAACAATATGTACGTATGTGTTTCGTAACCTATTTTTTTATTTATTTATCCATGATTTTGTAGTAGCTCATTACTGGCCTGTACAGGGTGGCTGGAATTCGACGCTCATCATTGGGATCTCAGAAACCGTAAGAGATAGAGGATCGATTAAATGTAGGCCAAAGTTGCGCTATTTGATGCTCAATAAAATCCCGTATTGCATTTTGAAAAATTCCGAATATATTCGAATAAAACGGAATTTTCAATTTTGTTTTCTATTGTTTCCTGGCTTTATTTGTTAAGATAACTTAAAATGAAAAACACATTTTCATGGCCACTCTTTCTGCTCTATAACTCTGTGTGATTAAATATTGACTCTGACGTTTCGGCTTCAGGCGACCGTCATCAACTTAATTTTTTTAAATACGGACCTGATTTTTTTTCAGTTTAATTAAATCTTTTCATCACTCTTAAAACACTATATATAGTCACTTTGATATTTGCCGACGTTTCGTACAGAAAATTCCATCACCAGAATATTTTATTGAGCATCAAACTGCGCAACTTTGCCTCCATTTAACCGATCCTGTATCTCTTACGGTCTCCGAAATCCCAATGATGAGCGTCGAATTCGAGCCACCCTGTACATTATTCATTATGCTACCTGTGAAATGGTATTCCAGTGAGTTTCTTCTAATATTACTACCACTAAGTACAGCACACGACACCATATTTTTTTTTAATAGAAAACACTCCAATTATCGATTAACAACACTAAATTTTGGGGAAATGTACCTATAACAACAAAAATAAAATCAAAATTGTCAACTGGTCCCGTTATCGTCACACCTGTAGTATCGCATCCTCTCAAAAGTGAAATGTCTAGAAACAAATATGCAATGATATAATCTATATCAATATGTGATCTATTTCATGGTTTTCACGTGAAAGTGCGATGATATGTGACGTAACATTCAACGATGGTTATTCAGACCTTACACATACATATTAAGACTGATGTACGCCTTTTTTGTTTATTAAAAAAGGCCTTTTAGCGTTTATTTGTTAGAGTTTTATATTTTTTATAATAAATGTTTTAAAAATACAAAAATATTAATGGTCAAAAAATAAATATTGGCCCTAACATACAATTTGACATTTTAGAACACCCCATATACTATGAATTAGTATGTTAAATTTTTTATTTTTGAAATAGGTACCTCTACCGGTGATGGCACGAAAACTACGTCACAAGACGTAGAAATAACATTTTAATTGGAGCTTATTTGGTTATATAGGGTGAACCAAAATCAGAATAGTATCGGCTTTCTTAAAATCACCTTACAAAAAAATTGCTATTTTAGGCTCAGCTACTCAACTTGCAATATTTTATTACTTTTATTATCACCCGACCAATCATAAAAACTTTTGTAGAGCATTTATAACAGCACAATTCAGAAGTTTTTCAATTCAAAAGAGCATTTATCAAGGAGAAAATACATTATTAGTTATCCCACTAGAAATACACACTAAAATTTAATACTTCCTATTAAATATGTTTACCTAGTACACACACGAGATTGAAATGGGTATTGTGATGGGTGATTGGGAACTTTTTATCGAAATAATTTAGGGAAAAGCCAAAAATAAAATAAAAAATGAACATGGGAAAAAGCCAAAAACAAAGGATTTTATAAGATTTTTTTTCGCTCTTATTTATTTACCCTGTATAACGGCTCTAAGGAAAATGTACATCTATGCATACTGTGGCGTTGTTTTCATTCTATCAAACGGTATCTACAAGACCTATATTGTAACGTTATTTGCCATTAATTTTTGAACCTTTTCATGACAAATTTCATTCAGGAACACAGCAAATTTGCTACATTTTCTAGAGAACTTTCCACAACACCATAGATTTAAAAATGAGCTTTATTATAACGGTATTATTTATTATTAAAAAGTAATGGTACATTTTTCAATCTGAACAAAACATGTTGAAGCGGGCAAAATAAGAAATAATATGACGGGTCTTTTAAGATTCATTCAACGTTTCGTCATCATTATTTATCTCATATATATCTAATATTCGTTTTAGAATATGTCTGAGATCAGTTCATATTTTTTAGATATAGAAAATGTCAAGTACGTTCCGAAATTTAGTAATGAGCGCGTTCGGCTTTTTTTTTAATTTCGAGTAGACATGTTTGGCTTTATTAATTTTGGTTGTGTTTTAATTGATAATTTTAGGCACACATGCCGGCTTTACTAATAGACAGTTTAGTAAGAAATATTTTAATTTTGCTTGACAGGACACTACTTTTAATTTTGACACTGATCAATATCCATTAAAAAGACCATAATCACGAAAGTGATTTCACTTTCGTGATTATGGTTATGGATGAGTGTTACTACAAAATTTTGGAATAATTTACGAAATGCCCCCCACCCCTGGTATGATGTCCATAATCTATTTCATCCTGTTTTCACGTGAATAATATCTGTAGTACAATATATGACGTAACGTTGAATGACAGTTGTATAAGCTTATGACATAGACTGAGTCCAGGTCCATGTTACTTGAGATTAATTTTTATTAACTAATTAATGGATCTCATCATTTTTTCAATATTGTATTTATATTTTGTTATTGCATTTACCATATCATAACAAATTGTCTCTATTTTCTACTACACATTATTTTGACTTTAAAACGATACCAATTCTTTCCTTAATGTTTAATCAACAAACTATAGTAATACGTATTACATAAAAGGAAAATCAACCAGATATACAGGGTGTCCCACGCTGAGCGTGCATTAGAAGTTTCTAGAGAACCACAATATCTAGATCGAATTTTTTGCACATCATTGTTTTACAACGAGATCTATCGATTACAAATATTTTCAATATGGCGGCACTTTCGGAAATACAGGATGTTGACAGCAAATTTATTATTTTAAATGGGTGCCTACATTTTTTATTACATACTTAAATTATCTGTAAAATTTTATGAATTTTGATATTAGACACTCTATACCTAACATTAGCCGTTTTTGAGAAAAAAATATTTAAAATTTTTGGACAAAAAAACCGCCTGTCGAAAATATGTGTATAGCCTAAACGTCAAATTTAGTGATTGCCACAGCCACTGTGACATAAAGAGAAGACATTTGTCTATCTATTTCAAAAATTAACTTGTTCAAATGTCATATAATAATGGCGGTAGCTGTGTCATGGAATTGAGCGATTAAAAAATTATCATAAATCATTTTTTTCAAATAGAATATTATTATTCTTTATGTCACAGTGGCTGTGTAATCACTAAATTTGACGTTTAGGCTATACACATATTTTTGACAGGCGGTTTTTTTCATCCAAAAATTTTAAATATTTTTTTTTCTCAAAAACAGTTAATGTTAGGTATAGAGTGTTTAATATCAAAATTCATAAAATTTTACAGAGAATTTAAGTATGTAATAAAAAATGGGGGCACCCATTTAAAATAAGTAAGTTGCTGTCAACTTCCGGTACATCCGGAAGTGCCGCCATATTGAAAATATTTTTAATCGATAGATCTCGTTGTGAAACAATGATGTGCAAAAAATCTCCGATCTAGATATTATGGTTCTCTAGAAACCTGTAATGTACGCTCAGCCTGGAACACCCTGTATAATATTTATAAGTATGATTGAAACTAAACGGCATCAGAGTTGCCTTTGAAATTCCGATTAGTGATAATTTTAGGCCAGTCGACCTCTATTTCTCCTTTTATTTAATATTGAGCATCAAAAAAACTTTCCATCAAAATTGTTTTAGAAAACTCGTAAAAATTGTTTTTTTCTATATTATTTTTAAAGTCTTGTTGTGAATTTCTAATGAGGTTTCTTGGTAGATTTGACAAAAGTACCATCGCTTGTTATTTCAAAGGCCACTGTGACAATACTTATTTTTCAATTGTGTTGTGCTGATAATGTGTTTTTTGCTTTAAACTATAAATGGCTAGTATTTTTATCAATCACTAAAGAATAAAGGACATATAACGGCCATATACGGCCGTTCTATACGGCTGCAGCAAAATTTGTGACCTTTAGACGCCATATTTTTGGACATAACGAATGAATCATCAGCTGGTCATCAGTGACAATTTCAGCGATTTTTAATAGTTGGTTGTGTGTAGTGAACTTTGTATAAACTTTATTACAATGGTGATTTGTTCAGCTTTCAAGTGTAAAAGGCGCAATGATAAGAAAGATCCAGGAGTCACGTTTTATAGGGAAATAAACAGTACACTACACCTTTTTAACGTTTTTTTATTGAATTCGATAATTATTTTTCTAATATTATATGTACTTGATATGTGCTATACGTCAATACTAGATTTGTACCTTTTGTTAACGTTTTAATATGTTTTTTTCGTAATTAATTAGTATGATACTACAGGACACACCAGAGGCGTAGTGAAAACATTTACCAAAAATATAAATATCGCTTCAAGCGGCTATGTTAAGAGAAATTTGTGCCACGGCACTGTTTGGAAGAATGGTCACAGTTGCTATTTGTCCTTGTATTCTTTAGTCATTGATTTTTATGAATTATACTTTGGCTAAATCTCATATTGGCTTTCATAATAGCAGTTTCTAATATACCGCCATTCTTTTCTCCATTTAATTCAGAAATTAGTTTGTTTCATTTTTAGAATACTTATTAACAATGTGTGCACTTTTTAACTAACATTAATTCACTTACGATATTTGAGTGTACTATTTTATTTGATCATATAATAGTATGTGACCGTTTGGATATTGAAATCGTTTAAAAAATTAGTTTTCTACAAAATATGTATTCTAAACCTTTGGCTGGAACTAACCTAATCTTTTTTTTCTAAAGAGCTATGGTATTCTTGAAATTGCACGAGCCACAAGTGATGGTTTCTAATACACCCAGGTCTTCGTTTTTGATAAAGAGTGAGTAGCAGGTAACATTTTGTTTGTTACTAATTTTAAGTACCAATTTTGTATATACACGCTTGATATTATTTATTTGAAAATTTGTGATTTAAGTGTTTTTTGAATGTTTATATTAAGAATTATACTGCCTTTGCTATGTATGTACGTTTGCCCTTGTTATTTTAAAATAGTATTCCTTGTGGTATTATTATATATTTTTAAAATTTCTATGTTTCTTAACAATAAAAGAATAAGTCCATATTTGTTGTCAGTTTTTGAATAGAATATAAACTAAAATACAATTTGCCAAAGCTCCTGTGGTTTCTTTTTGTTAAAAACATATAATGCATCTGTGATTAACTGATTTTATATTGTATTTATAAAATAAGCAAGCAGAATATTTAGCCTTCGATACCTAAAACTTGTAATTAGGTTAAGAATTTTAATTTTAGGTAATATTAAATTCATTTATATTTATTGCTCAACATTAAGTACCCATAACTTGTTACAAGCATATCATTCGTGATGTAATAAAGCATATTGATTTTTATTTTTGTATTTTGTTTTCCCTCTAAATTTTTGAAAACATTCTCCTTGAATTATACAGGGTGTTTCTAAAAACATGTTCCATCTCTCGTGGGGAGATTCCTCAAATCTCTCAAGTGGCAATGGGCGGGACACCTGGCAAGAAGGACTCACAACAGATGGACCACAAAAATTACAGCATGGTACCCACGAGGAATTAAGAGACCTAGAAGTAGAACAAACCTGAGATGGGACTATGATAAGAGGAAATTAGCAGGAATAACTTGGGCCCGCAGAACCAACCATAGACAACGATGGGCCCAACTACAAAGAGAATATCTAAATATGTGAGGGAGTTTTTTATTTTTCATATCAACATAGGCCCGATTCTGCTTTGTTTCGTAGCTACAGGGTGTTAAAGTCTTAATATCTTTCTATTTATTATAATTTTCTTCCGAAAGTGATTCGAATGAAATTTTGAGGATGAAAGTTACTATAAGTGCTACATATTTTAATGCTAAAAAAGTGTCGATAAATTCATCAGGGACATGCATATTTGCGTATGGGTTATCACTGGAATATTTTTCAAAAAAAAACATGTGCGCCACTGACTTTTTTTCTTTTGATATCAAAATTGTCTAGGCCGTTTAATGCCAATTAAAAGTTATCTCTTGATATTTTGTCGAATTCGGCCTTATTGATAAGATAACCGCAATTTCATTAATAACAATTAATAAAATTAGAATAAAAATAAAATTAATAAATTATTGGAGGATTGAGGAATCAATGAGTACTTATATTTAAAACTTTCACAAGTTAATGATAATATTTTTTAAAGGTTGCTATTAAGGAGGGCGCGCACAGAATGGTTCTCGGCGCGAGCGAGCGGCACGTAATTTTCAGTTTACATTGAAATAAATGTAAGTCCGCGCACCCCATTAGATCGGTGCGCTTCGATCTATCGGCGCCATTCGAGCTATCGGCGCCATCAGGCCAAATCAGAGAATGCATGGGAGGGGGACGAATAGTCTACGCCGAGCGACTGTTTTTATTGGAGCGGTTTTACATTAAACATTTCCAATGAATTATTAATCGAAAGTGTACGAGACCATATCATACTTAATATGCGGTTTTTTATAAAAAATTCTTACAAGCACGTAACCCATATTGTTTAATACACTTATTCAATAACAGAATTAGAAAACCTTCCGATTAAACCCATTTATTTCTCATCTCGTTTTGATTATCTCAGATTATTATAGAAATCGAATTTAAATATCGTCAAAAACTTATCATAATATTTAATTTTTGGTTTGTTTTGACGTTAGTAATAACAGCTGATAAATAATGTTACTATGTTGATCGCTCCGTACAAGGTACAAATAGAGAAAATAATATTTATGTTTAAATAAAATATTTGTACATATATCTACCGTATGATAAAAAACGGCGTCCAGTTGGATTGGAAATGACGATTGATGACATTTCCCATATAAATTTACATATAAAATTACACCGACCTTCATTTCATGGCCATCGCTGATGCCGTTTCTTTTCGATCATACGGTACTATAAAATAAAAAACTATATATTTTTCTTTTTTTAATTTTCTTTGAATTTTTTATTATATTTTAAGGTTTTAAAATCTTGGTTTTAAGTCAGTAGTGAATAAAACGAAACTTTTGTTTACATTTTGTTTAATGATTGACGTTTCGACCAATTTTAATTCGGTCTTCTTCAGAATCTATAATATACAATACTATTTTATCACTAACAATGTGTTTAATATATAATTTTTCTTACCATAAACGTAGCGTAACATCATTTATACGTATATTATAGATTCTGAAGAAGACCGAATTAAAATTGGTCGAAACGTCAATCATTAAACAAAATGTAAACACAAGTTTCGTTTTATTTACTACTGACTTAAAACAAAGATTTTAAAAACTTAAAATAAAAGTTGTAATGACACTTATTTAGATTAAAAAACTAAAAATAGAAGTTTTATTTGACTATTTTTCATATCTAGCTTTGTTTTTAAAGAACAAATTAAACCCTTTTGAATGATACCAAATTTGTTAAAATCGGTTAACCTAAGAGTCATGTAGTATATTTTATCCCCATCTTCCACTCTATTTCACTAATTTTATGTGGTTTGTTAAGATCTAAATATATTAATGTGTGTTTGGTTAAGATCTAAATAATATTAAAATGAATTGAATTATTATAACAAATATACAAAATAATTGAAATGCCGAATGAATTTGATTAAATTTGAATAAACTTCTCCTCGTCTATGCTCAAATTTATGCTGGTGACGTACTCTCGACCGTCGATCGTGCGACTCCAGTGCGCGGCTACAATCGACTTTCCGACCGGTCGTGCCGCTCGCGCCGCTCGCTCTCGCCGATACCCCTTCAGTGCGCGCGGAGCTAGACTTAGAACAAGGCAAATTAATCAAATCGCGTTTATCTCATCAAGGAGGCCGAAATCGTCAAAATATCAGGAAACAACTTTTAATCGGCAGTAAACTGCTTACACTGTTGCGCTAACAAGAGAAGAAAAAGTCAGTGGCGTACATATTTTTATTAGAAAGATATTCCAGTGATAACCCATAAGCACGTCCCTGCATGGTGAATATGTCGACACTTTTTCAGCTTTAAAATATGTCGCATTTATAGTAACTTTTACCCTCAAAATTTTATTCAAAACTTAAGTATTTGGAAGAAAATTATAATAAATCGAAAAAGTATTGTGACTTTACAACCAGGTAGCTGCGAAACAAAGCAGAATCGGACCTATGTTGATATGAAAAATAATTCTTAATTTTAAATGAAGAATCTCCCCACCAGATATGGCACATGTTTTTTTTTAAACACCCGGTATAATATTTAATTAAAATACTAAAAAATTAAAGTTTTAAAAATTGCTTTAAACGTTTTCAAAAAACATTTAAAGCAAATTGGAAACATTTTTCGGGCTTGTCCGAGATTATTAAAAATTATATTAACCGGTTGTATTTCAGAACACGCCACAGAAATAAAAGTATCCGAAATAAATAAGCGCGTTATTTTATTCGGTGCAAGAAGACGATACAACAGATATTACAGAAAAGTCTCAGTGTGCTATTTCAATTCGATATGTTAATAAAAGCGGCTAAGTCAAATATATCTTTGCGAATTTTATTTTATGAAATATTAGATAACATTGTTATACATTTAGAAATATGGTTTGCAGATAGGTACTCGTGTGTCTTAATTATTTTTATTTATCTCTTGCGGATCCGATATTTAAAGAATCCTATAAAAAATTTCCAACGCATTTAACATCTGATTTAACAAATTTGTTATATTGATACATTTCCAAAGCATTTAATAGTGATTTAACAAACAAAAAATGTTATTAACCAACGTAAATTAATGAATAAATTGCAGGTATTAATAATAGATATGATAATTTCGATTATAAAATAATTTAAGAAGAATAATCCTAGAAATATATTTCCAGAGGCTTGCAAATTGTTTGTTTTGTTTGTTACTACACCATTTACTAGTATTTGGGTTGAGAGACATTTTTCATGTTTGAAATGCCTTAAAATTTATAGTAGAAATTCCATGAAAAATAAACGTTTATCGTCACTTGCCTTACTTTCAATCTAAAAAGATCTTTTCACGGCTTTTCAACAATCTGATGATTTTACTGATATAATAATAAATAACTTTTCTTTATTAAGAGACCGACTCAGTTTAATATATAAAACATAATTATTCTTTCTCTCAATACTACCAATTTTTAAGTTTGCGTAAATAAATAAAAATAAAATAAAATTCTATGATGTACTCCATAGTAATAGATAAAAAATCATATACTTGTACATTATGTCAATCATTATGTCATTACGTTGAATGCTGTTATTTTTGCTTTAGTTTTGTCCTAAATATTCTTGAGCTATGTTTTTAACCCAGAGATAACATATATTTACAAACTGGGTTACGGTATTATGTAAATTTAAGGGGGGGCAAATAGACACAACTAAAATTAATTTTGTCGCCTACCCAGTGACACGGGTCACGAGCCGCCACTGAATCGTTGCTATGCGATAATAATAATAATATCTAAGTATTTTGGTTTTTGCTAGTGTAGTTATTGAAACTATAAACTTCTCAGGTACGATGTTTGTGGGATGTAACGCTGTTTCGGGTAAAAAAAATTAAGTAAAAATAACCCGAACTGGGCGTCGCGCTGTGTTGCGACAAGGTTGCGACTAGTGATGGGCAAAACTGTTATTTTTAGATAACAGTTGAAACTGTTATAGTTATTTATAAAAAACAGCTTAAAAATAACATGTTTCTTTATTTTATTGCTAAATTCTGAAAGAGTATGAGGCGGTCACCGCCAGGCGTATTAACGCAGTTGCAAGTTGCAACAATGACATGCTCGGTGGTAGTATTTCCAGGGTGTAAAAGCATTTCTAAATATCGATTGTTATCTAAAATACCTCTCTAAAAACGGTCGTTGTTTACAAATAAGCGCTGTTTACAAATTGCGATATAAAAAAGCCAAAATTCCGCCACTCGTCTATACGTATACATTCCGATCTACCTACGCCTTGCCCCTCGATCGGCGTAGATCCTGAATTGCGTAGCAGTGTACAGGGTGCATCTCACTCGACGGGCAAGAAGCTCTTAGTTATAATTTTACCATTTGTGGTCAAAAAATAGCAATATAAGAAAATGTGTAGTATATTCTTCATAAGTAAACCAACTATACACTAGAGTTCGAATTAATTTTACACTTAAACTAGCGTGTACCCGCGACTTCGTTCGCGTCGAATTAATAATTTGTAATGGTGATGATAAAGCAAAGCAAGAATTTCTATTGACATACAAACTGGATAAAATTTTCTCACATTTGCCAAAAATAAGCTTTAAACGTCGAGCAGTTTAAGCAGAATCGTGGTTAATCAATTACTCAACTTTTTGGAACACCCTGTATTATTTTTTAAAAAATTTCAAAATATGTAAAAAAACAAAATAAATTATGCGTGTCCAAGCGTTTTCCCGAAAGACTAACCGTTTTTTAAATAACAAATATTGTAATATTTGAGGGGCGTTTTCACCCTCTTGGAATTTAAGATTCGAGAAACCCCTCCTTATCGAACCTCAACCCCACAGTCAATCCGTTTGCCAAAAATCAGCTTTAAACGTCAAGCAGTTTAAGCAGAATCGTGATTACTCAATGGTCACATTTTATGAAACACCCTGTATATATTTTTAAAAAATCTTAAAATATGTAAAACAACGAAATAAAATATACGTGTTTAAGAGTTTTTCCGGAAAACTCACCGGTTTTTAAATAAAAAATATTCTAATATTTGAGGGTGGTTTCACCCCCTTTGAATTCGAGTTTCGAAAAATCCCTTCTTATCGAACCTCTACACCCTAAAGTCAATCCGTTTTCCAAAAATCAGCTTTTTACGTCAAGGGCTTTAAGCAGGATCGTGATTAATCAATGACCAGATTTTTCAAAACACCCTGTATACATTTTTAAAAAATCTTAAAATATTATTCTGAAAATTTTTCAGAATAAATAAATACCTAAATATTGAAACTTAATAACGTACTGAAACATACAGCGCCATAATATCTCGACCTCCGCCCGTTATGCTCGTAACAGGTTGAAAAACAATATATCTAAAACAACTGATGCGTTATTCTCCAACCTGTTTCGAACTTCCATCGACAATCGACCGATGGAGCAGCGTTCCTTTCCCACTCCGATTATCTCGACCGCCACCCTGTTATACTCGTAACAGGTTGAAAAACAACGTATCTAAAATGACTGCTTCTCCAACCCGTTGCGAGCCTCCATCGACAATCGACCGATGCAGCAGCCTTCCTTTCCCACTCCTGTTATCTCGACCGCCAGGCGTTATGCCCGCAACTGTTTCAAAAAACCTGCTTCTTTTATATCCTATTATTTTTAAGCTGTTGTAAGCCCAATACGACCGTAGACGGGATCGACCGAAGCAGCTACGTTCGCCGTAGCGCATTCCTCACTCCGTTGTCCGTTGTCTCGTCGCCTGTATGGTTGACGAAATAACATGTTTTCCATCCATAGTAGTTGTTTTTTGGAATTGCTTAGAGCAGCATAGAATTTCGGGGCGGTGCAGAGCGCCGACTTCGTTTTTCGTTTCACGAGCGGCCGATCTCTACGTGTCGTTATTTTATATCTGTTATTTTTTAGAAGTAGTAACGGTTGCGTTATGTTATTTCTAAATAATTGTTATAAAATAACAGATAGTTAAATAACAACCCATCACTAGTTGCGACATCACAACCACTGGGTGACGTCACAACCACAATAGCGGGAACTGATAAGGGGGCGAAGACGTGAGGCAACTTATTCAGTTTAGCGACCTTGCCTGTTTATTACATACCCCGAAGTAAAATTTGGCTCTGAATTTATGAATGCCATAGGTATAAGTAAATTTTATTTTTACTACTTCCAAGGGAACTTTGCCCAGTTTGCAGCATTAATTCTAAATTATTCTGTTCCACTTCTATTTCCATAGTGGTCTCAAAGATTAAAAATTAACAGTTGTTTAAAAATGTGTGTTTATTTAAATATAAACACGGTCTTTGGTTTTTGTTATGAAACAACAAAAAATTATAGACTCTCGATAATCTGCCGCTCGGTGATCGGCGATGCCGGTTATATAGTTGGTGGTCGTTGCAGGTCAAAATAAGAACTTGTGAAATTAACGATCGCGAATTGTTATGATTTTCAGTTAAAAAGCCGCGTGCTTTGCGTCAGCTTGAAAAACACTGAACCCGGAAATTCTATTTAGAAAGGTATATTTTTCTTCTAATATAAACTTAAAAGGCCCAGTTTAATCCTCCAAAAGGGCTTGATCAATTTCAATAGTAAAATACCTAATTTTTGAACCCAGTTCAACGATAAATAGTCATTGAGCAACGTATTAAAATTTTGAACATGGTTTAAACCTGCGAACTCACTCTGAACCGAGTATATACAACCAGGCCTAAAAGGCATAGAAGAGAGAGCAATGGATTTTGGCTTGATATACGAATCGGTATAAAAGGATATAATAGCAGGTCGCACAAGTGTCTAGGTACACCCCAACAATACATGCCGGAAAGCTTTGCGAAAGCGTATTCTCGATTGTGGGTCGGGTATTTCGCGTGCAATCTAAACAAAAAAAAAATACTCCAGAGATTAACCAACGCCGTAGGCGTCTTTTGATTGCTATTACCAACCGCTGTAAAAAGTTGGGGTGTACCTAGACACTTGTGCAGGTAGCCGGGTGACGTCACAACCATAATGGCGAGGATTGAATTGAGGGGAAGAGGCTGATACCAAAGACGGAGAACTGGCCTCTGTGGAGCCATCTCAGATACTGGCTTTTCTCAAAGCCCTGAGACTATATGATGAGTTATAACTCAAGAAAGGGGAACACACGATAGATCTGTAGGGTCGCGATGATTAACCCCCCTCCTAAACATTCTACAAGGGGAAGAGTGATACAACCTATTCAGTTTAACACCTCGCCTGGAATTAATTTATTTGAAAAATTCTGACACCTGTCAATTTCTAACGTGACAGCTTTAAATAACAATATGAATATATATAATTTAAACAATATAAATAATAGATGTAAAATATAAGATTATTTATGTTTTACATCTAGTTTTTCTGTTTTAAATCATTAGGAAAGTCAAGTCATTGATCTATGCTTAGGTACAGTTTGTCCAAAGAGGAAGATTTCAACAGACAACATCCAAAAAATTATATAAAATACACTTATCTGTAAATTTAAATGAGAGAACTGTCACTATATTATGGGTCCTCTCGTTGGACAGACTATATCTATATTATTTACATGTAGTATATCATACTTCACAGATCAGTGTAAATCTTTGTGTAAATGCTATTTTATTTCAAAATGTAAATGCTTTTTTATAAGAATATTTTGGATTATTAAATATGAGCACCAAATTTTTTATTCAAAATATTTGGTTCCCACCTCTGATACTCTTTTTTAATCTTAGTTTTATCCAAATCTGCATCAACAATTAAAACAGGAGCTGGGCATTTGTGTAATCTCTTATGATATAACCAGTCTTCGTGCAATTCATGCAATGATTTGATATAATCTAACGATATAGAAATTTCTTCTGGCCGGTTTCTTTTTAAAATCCTCTCATAAACTACTTCTGGAGATGTTCTTAAATAAACTATTAGGTCAACATCAACGTTCATTTTGGTTGTAATCCAATGAAACCAGGAGTCAATAACAGCTACAGATGGTGGAGAGAGTATACCATCCCGACTAAGTTTTTCCACAAAACAATAACGAGCACTAAATATCGAACGCTCCATTAGATTTACTGGTTTCTCAATTTTATTTAAATG